ATGCTTCATATGTTATCATTCAATGATTCACGTGTTCCATTCATCAAGTGTTTTGAAGCCTCTAAATTTACAAGGATGTATTCTGATAGATATAGCCTCTAAATTTACAAGTTTTTATGTATTCTGATAGAATATATAATATATTATATAATTATATAATATTATATATATATATATAATATATATATACTATATTATATAATATGTGTGTGGTGTGTGTTGTGGTGGGTGTGTGTGTGTGTGTGTGTGTGTGTGTGATAAAAGAAACAAGAGACAAATCTCAACTAATAGAAATTGAAAAGTACTGCTCTCCATTTATATTGGATATGTAGACAAAAAATAAGCCAAGAAAACCACCTGATCTCATAAAAAAATAAATCTAAAAACTTGATTTTATAAATGTATTCATTTTTACTAGTATTTAAACCTGAGAACCTTGGGCTAATTTTTCATTCACAATCTCATAAAATTTTCCAACAAATGAAAAAGCGAAACTTCGGCTTTGGGTGTTCTTCATCTTTTGTCTCTCTTTTTGAGTGTGTTTAGAGCTTAATAACACTAACGGGAATGGTGTCTTTTACTCATCATAAGAACAATAAAACATAAATAGGAGCACTGGGCACATTCTTTTGTGCAAGCTCTTCCAGTTGTATCCCATTTATTATTCATTAACAATTTCATTTTGTAATCATAGGTTGGGAAAGAACTATTCAAAGCATGCAAAATTTCTACATCATACGCGATCCAAAGACGATGATTATGTGTCACCAATAGTAATATATGGGCATCAGTTCACTCTTGCTGGCCATCACCAAGTTGCTGCGAGAGAATATATAGCAGCTTATAAACTGTTGCCAGAGAATCGCTAATTAATCTATGTGTGCGTAAGATTTAGCCTATCATTCCCTACAGTTTTGAAGATCACATATTTGTGCTTACAATATTATTAAAATTTTTTGACATGGTTGTTTCATCCAGGTACGACCTTGATCAATTTAATTCTTGGATTTAGACTTCAAAATACGCATCAGTGTCTTGCACAAGGCTTATCTTTTCTCTATAAAAATTTATGGCTTGCTGAAAATAGTCAGGTTTGCTTTTCCTTTTTTCTTTCTTGTATCTTTTTTCCTACACTCTTACTTCATTATGGTTAGTTTATTGATTAAGTGCATGCTTCTTGTCTTAACTTGTAAATTTCTATTTCTATATAGGTATCTGTGCAGGAGGCGTTATATAATGTTGGTCGTGCATGCCATCAAGTTGGACAGATATCTCTATCAGCTTCTTTTTACGAAAAGGTGCTCAAAACTAGTGAGGAGGATTACCTGTCACGTCCACATCTTCATAACATGTAATAAGGATGCATTATATTATTCTTAGAGTCTAATTATGCATTAAGTATGTTTAATTTTATTTCTGGATGATTTATAATGATTCGGATAAATTATAGTGCCAGAAGGGCATTTTGATAATTTATAGTTTCATGAGACTGTATTTTGAAAACGTAGTGTAATATTAGTATGTCAATTAATTATGACTGTATTTTGAAAACGTAGTGTAATATTAAGTATGTCAATTAATTATTATGTAATGCAATATGTTTATATATGGTTCTAGCCTTAAATTTAAAAGAGAAAAAAAAAAAAAAAAAAAAAACAAAACATTCTAAAATAAAGACAAAATAATCTAAATAGAGAGTACTTTCCGTGCCACTACAAGACAAATTCAACTCATCTTATTTCTCATTTTTCCTACAATGCCACATAAGCATCTTATCTAAATAAAATCTTCACATCACCTATTCTATCTTATTGCAATCTCGTTGGCCAATAGAAAAGGAAAGTTCATGTTGCACCATAAAGCATGTGATTGCACCACATGCTCTAAGCATGTGAAGTTAGAGATTCTATCTCTCAAATCCACTCCCCTCTACATGCAAACTGTTTCTTCTTTCTTTCTTTTCATTTTTATCTTTTCTCTTTCTTCTTTTATCTTTGTTTCTTCTTTTATCTTTCTTTCTTTTTTCTCTCATACAATACTAACCCTTATCCAAATACTCTAATGCCTAAATCCCTCTCTAAACTCAACTACTCCTCACCATATTCGAATATGCTATTCCTCTCCTCATGGCCTATAAGCTAATATAATTTATTTTAAGAAAATCTAAGCTTTTAAGGTAAATTTTACTCTTTTATGTTACTACTTCTTTTCTCTCTATTTCTTCTCTTTTTATTTTTAAACTAAGGCTAGATCCATATATTTTATGTCATATATATTATGTTAATACATTAAAAAAATTATGTTCATGCTTAGATGTTTAAAAAATGTTCCTTTTTCTTTGATTTAGGAGGTGCATCGTCTAAATCAAAAGGAAAAGAGGTGGCGGAGAGTTAGTAAATTTCAAGTTTAATGCTTTATTCTCATTTTAGATATATTTAGGATATTTATACATGATTTCTTGAGATTTATATGTGTAAATGAGTTTTTCTTCCATTAAATGTCATGATCTTGTTTTTTCCTTCCATTAAATGTCATGATCTTTGTATAAGCTTTCACTTTTATGCCCCTTTTTTATGCCTTAAATGCTTTATTTGATGATTTATTCATGTATTTTAAGCTAGGACAGAATATATAGATGTTGTCCCTCTAAAATAAATGCTTAAAAATTATATTCTGATGTTATATTTCTTGAATATAAGTGCTAAAGATGTATGTATGCAATTTGGTAATGTTTAAGGGCATTGTTCATGCTTGTAAGAAACTTTGTGACTATATTTTTATGATTTTATGTTTAGTTTATCAAATTAAATATTTAATCTTGATTATATGATGTTTAATGATGATTAATAGAAAGTTAATTTGATTTAATGTATTCTAGTGCACTAATTATGGTGGGCCAAAGCGTGGAAGGACTAATTTGCAACTTTGACATTTGATGAGGACTATTTGGAACATATTTGAAGGACTAAAAGGCAAATTCCTTAGGCTTGTGGAGTATTTAGACAAAAAGGAAGACTTTAAGGACTTAAACTAATGACTAAAATGTGAATTTGCACTAATTATGGACTAAAGAGCAATTTGGACTAATTAAGGACTATAATTATAAATTGGACGCTTAAAAAGGATTAATTGTGGACTATGGATAATTTTATATACCATCAATCTATTTATTCCAAGTGGAACCCATTTATAATTAGTAAGGCCTTTATAATTAGGATTAGTAACAATTAAGCAGTAGTAATAAATTAATCGGTTAGTAGTAATTAAATTGAGTGGATAGATAGTTAATTGGTGATATTTAGATCAATTAGGTACTTAATTGGTAAATAATAGAATTTTATAACTACTAAATTAAGTGGGTAGTTAATTAGTATAATTTAGTAAATTAAGAACTCTCTTAAATCAATTAATTAATTAATTGATCCCCTTAAGTCGCAATAGTGAGTATATTAGAAATAAGTGAAATATGGATTAATTAGGTGGTGATATACCATGCTTAATATCAGTGTAGATTTAAGGATATGAAATATATGATTTAAGGATATGACATTATGATGAAATTTTAGTGTAGAAAAATATGATTTTTTATGAATTAAAGAGAATTTATAAAAGAAAATATTTTCGGACTGTAATAAACATTTCGGTGTAATTATGAGACTAGATATTTTATTTATGAATATTGATATGGATGAATTATATAAAATGAATTAATTATAATAAATATTTTATCGGTCTTGGTCTACTTGGTTGAGTCAATAATTGTATAGAGGTATGACATGTCATAGGAATACAGTATTGTCTATATGTGACATGTAATATCTTATAGGGGCTAGCGAACCCATTTTATAGAAGCTAACAAACTCCAATTTTTATAGGGGCTAACGAATCCTATTTTCTAGATATAGCCATTTGATTTTGACTGACGGGTTGTATGATGTTATATGGGCTTTCGAGCCATATGTTTATTGTGGAATTCTCTGTCTACTATTTGATTTTTCTAAGTATGCTAAAGGCCTAATTAAAAACTAAGTCATGGCTAAAGGCCTAAATTTAAAATATAGTTTTTAAAAAATTAAATTATTAAATTAATTAATGTTGTTTTATGAACATATGCTGAATTTATATGATATCATGATTAAAGTTATGTCTAAATTTAGTGGATACATGATTATTAGATTTAATTAAGCATGCTGACTATGGAATTATTTATATTTATGAATATTTATATTACGCGTCTGAAATAAGCTATATCATGATTATGCTGTCTTATTATAATAAAATGTTATGTTTTATAATATGTGATATTATGATTGTTTATGTGTATTTCCAAAACGCCCCGAATTTTTATTTTCGAAAAATTTCAAATTTTTAATAAATCAAAAATTTCGATTTTCAATTAATGGGCTATATATATACCAAACAATCTTAATTCGAGCCCAAAATTTTACGAGTTGGGCCCAAGCCCAAATAAAATATCGTAAAGAAATTTTGAATCATAAACGGTTAAAATTTTTGAGAAATAATACGAAACCCCTTAATTTAACTTATTATGAATATATATAAATTAATTATTCAAAAAAAAATAAAAAAATAAAATAATAATAATAATAAAAATAAAAATATTGTTACTGTTAGTATTTTTATTATTATTAATATTGAGTAAATAGAGAAAATATAATGGAACCAAACTAAATAATTAAAATAAATCGAACCGAACCTGGAAATCAAATTGATTTTCGAAAACCACACGAATAACTTGAGAACCAGTGGAAAAATCCGAGAATCAAGCGAAAATCAAGCAAATCGTCAAATTAGACCAAATCGGTTCGAATCGAACCGAAATGGTCTAGAATTTGCTAGAAACCGACTTTCTTTCTTTCCTTTTTCTCTCCTTTCTTCTTCTTCCTCCAGCGCGACCTCCTCCTCCTTCCCTCCCCATTTTCAGCCACCGGAGCCGATCAAGCTAGCCTCCTCGCCGTCACCTCCTCGCTGCAGTGGTTCCGAGCCTCCTCGCCGTCACCTCCTCGCTGCAGTGGTTCCGGTCCCCTGTCTCTCTTCCGTTCCTGCGTACCCAGTAGCCGCAGAAAACCAGCGAGCTCGTGGACGGAAATCACGTCGCGTCTCTAGCTCGATTCTCCGGCGGTCGACTCCAGCCTCCTCCTCCATCGACGACAAGCGCTGAACACGGGTGAGTTGGAGTCGTTTGTCCTGGAATTCTTCGGCGGCGACGATGATCGTGGTATTAGACCACTGCCAAGCTCGATCCGGCTAATTTGAGGATCGATCTCACCAAACTAAGGTCGAAAATGGAGTCCTTGGTGAATTCTGAGCCGAATAGTATGATCGGTGCAAGTTTCTGGGCAGCTTTCATTTTCCGGCCACCATGGATGGCGGCGACAGCGGCAGTCCGGCGACACTCCGGCGAGGCTCCGAGAGACAGAATTCTCTTCTCTCCGAGCTGATCATGGAATCGTCGCCCGATTCTCAACTGGTACGTGTACGTTCTAAGACTAAATTCTCAATTTTTGTATATAAAGAACTAATTGAATAATGAATTTAATTGAGTTATTAAATAGATTGAATTGAATAATAAGAAATTAAGTTATTGGAATTGCTTAAATATATATATATATGTATAGACATTTATAATCGTTTGTAAATAAATTAGATTGGTTAGTGTGTGTGATTGCGATAGCGAACATAATTAGTTAATTGATTTAGGATTTTAGAATAATGTAATTGCAAATTAGTTTAAACCATTGTCAAATAAAATTTACATGAATTATAATTATAATTAGAAGACTTGACATGGAAATAAGAATTCACATATAGAATAGCTAGATTATTGAATCTATTATGAATGAATTTTTGGTGAGGAATTGATGACTCGTTAGTACGATAGTAGTTATTTTTGGTCGTTGGTTGAAATTCTCGGTATGTTATAAGGACCTTGATTTGATACCATTTTAATGGAACTAATAAAATGAATGGCGAAAGAATTGAAGAAACCTGAACTTGCAGCATGCCATTTTAACTAACTAGCCTTGAACAATTATTGCGGTATAATGTTGTTGGAATAAATGTGCTCTTCATAACTTTTTGTGGATGTAGAGGTTCTAATGACTAAATTTGATGAGAATTGAGAAACTTTTGGTAGTGGCAGCAGCTATTTTCAATCATTTATATGGATTATTGCTTAATATGGAATATTTGAAGTAGTAGATTTAATTCTTTTTTAAGAATTAGTTAGTTGGTATATTTTGAGTTGTAAATTGGATTTCTTAGTAGGTGTACTAATTGAGGCATTTGTTTTTAGTGGCTAATTTAAAGTATGATAAAGGTATAAATATGTGATTGTCACCTTTAAGCAAGGATGAAGAATGAAGGTTTGATAAAGAGTTTTATAATATTTAAAGGCTAGGTAACTATCAAACGAGGATGACTGAATTTAACTTATTGATACAAGCATTTATTTGACACTTTCGTTAGAAAACCTTAATAATATTGATGGAACATGCTTGGAGGTTTATTATAATTTGTAAATTAATTAGTAAATGTTGACATGGGTAGTTTTGAAAGGAGGAAATGGGAAATTGAATTGATTTGAATGCCCGACGGATGGGCCTTGTGTGTAATCGATTGATAAATACATATATTTGGTGATATTTGAGCCGGTAGATAGTCCAATTTAGGGAGGTGCTTGAAATTTACGGTAGAACTTAAACTGATTTTAAATTGATACATAATAAATAGTTTATTTAGAAAAATTTTAAATTCGATACATAATATAAAGTTGCTTTAACTACGCATAATCATTTATCCTAGTCTATTATTTACTATTTTATTATTATTATTATTATTATTATTTATTTAATTTATCGTTGTTGTTATTGTTAAGATTAATTTATTTAATTATTTAATTGCAATTGAGAATGGATGTTTAATTGTGCAACAATGTTCAGCTGATCCATATGTCTGCATCTAATTGAAATGCTTGATTAATTGTGTTGTGTTATTGCTGTGCTTTGTTTGTGTGGAATTGGGATTAAGTGGGTCACCATGGGTTTGTGAGACTGTTTCTATTATACGGATCCTGATTCTGAATTCTATTATATTCTGGTTCTGTTTTATGGATCCTGATTCTGTTTTTGTTAGCCGGGCAAAAGGGAGATCGGCGCCCCCGTGTGCACCTACTGTTACCGTTACTGTTGACCACAGGTTGGCTTCTTTATTTGGGCGCACCGGATAATCTCGGATGAATCAATAGATTTGAATCGCACAGCCCGCTAGGGTGCCTCCTCTGTTGCGTCTGAACGCGCCTGTATGATCTAGATTTTGCATGTGAGGACGTACCGGGGTTGCCTCCTTGAGTATGGTATGAAAGAAAAGATGAGGACATTTGGAAAAACACATGAAGGGCTGGTCAAGTGAGGATTTAGACCGGTACTCGCCAGTAGTGGGGATCTCGGCTCCTTGGTGCACATGCCTGAGGAGGATGAGCATGTGGGAGGACCGGCCTCATCGGGGTATCAGGTGACTCCACTACTAATTTCCACGTGCATGTGATTATATGAAGATGTGAATGATTGTGGTTAATGATTGTGAGTGCTGGTGATTTGCCATTTGTATGACTGGCTGCGTGAGCATATAACTAGTCGGACGACTAGATTAATATATTTACACATTTATGTGACTGCGTATGTGGTGCAAAAATTATTACTCATTAGAAACCTCACATGTCTTGTTTGATTTTTTCAGGAAGTAGCTTTTTCCTTTAATCCGATTTAGGCTATGTTTTTTCGGCGCAGGGCAATAAAGAAATTTTTCCTAGTTCCATAATTATTTTGCTATGTAATTATGTGTATAAAAGCTATGTATACTAAGAGTTAGTGACTCCGCAGGTCATGTGGTAAGATTTACATATAATTAATTGTGTATTTCAGCACGAGACAATTAAATCCTTGTAAGCCCACTATCTAGAATATGTGCTTTTATTGTAATTGCGCCGTAACTTTGGAATCTTAGGAGATTATAACAATGGCCGGAAATATAAAAAGTATTGAGGTTTATTTTTCTACTTATATGCCACATGGGCATCTTGAATGTTGTAAATAATAAAATATTGAGGTTTATTTTTCATAATCACATGGGCTGAATGTTGAAATTTATACCGAGATAATAGATTCTAGTGTTCCAGGCTGACTACGAGCCTCGGGAGCCTTAAGCTTACTTGGGCCCTAGTGCCGGTCCGGCCGGTGGAATCGGGTCGTGACAATTTCCCTGCTATAAATGGGAAATAAGCACAACTAAACTTTATGCTTAGCGCATTGACTTGTCATGCACAGGTTCTTGATTCGGGGTAGACGATCCACAGCGAGCATCAGACTATTCAAAAGCCCCTTATTCCACTATAGTCAGTTTTCAATAGTGTCTCTTTTATTTCAGTCTTTAGAAAAATCTAGTGCCATGTAAATATAATTAAGGCACTATAATATTTTTATCAAGTCAGAATGTTATGAACTAAATATTTAGAACAATAGTTTTATTTTCAGAATCAGAATATTTTATGGTATGTAATGAATATCTTAAATGCTTTCAATTAAAAAGAATTGACTTATTTTCCGTGTTGGATTTTTATGAGATGTGTTGGATGATGAATTGAGAATGTGGAGTTTGTTTTGAAAAAATAAATTTAAAAATGTAGTTGGTGTGGACGGATTATAGAAGTGTTTAAAATGTTTTTCTGTATTTTTGTGATACTAAATATATAGAAGAAACTCTTGCAAATTTTCTGCACGATTTCTCCGAAAATTTTTTTAAGTCATTTTTGTAAAACTATTTTGAAACGTCAAGCATTAAACATGCCAGTTTAATACTTTGTGTTAAATCTAATATGACACTTGAGGTCCCATTTTATGAAACCGAATTTAGGATGTCACATTACCCACTTCCAAAACTTCTGAATGAGAATTTAGGTGCTCCAGAAAGTCTGAAGCCAGGTTACTGTGACCTGCATAGGGAGGCAGCTTACAATTTACACTTGATATACAAGAAAAGTGGAGCATTGGACCTTGCTAGGCAGGTCTTGGAAGATCACTGCACTTTCTCAGTAATATGCTCCAAATACATTCATTTTCTCTCTGAATTTTGACGTTATTGATCTTGTACATATACGATTGCTTTATTTTATATATAGAGTCCTGCTTAAATGTTGGACTATTTCTTGAGTTGTGTTTTTCTTTTTCTTTTTTTCAAAGGATTTTCTTCCCTTTTAGCTAAAGCAAACTGTTTTTAAGCTCTGTTCAAAAAAAAAAAAAAAAATCATATTTATCCTTGACTATTTCAAGGGTGAGTATTCGATTAACTGAGCTAAACCAGACTTAATTAGTTTGGTTTTGGTCTAGCCAAATTTTTGGTAACTGAATCTGGAATCGAATAATATAAAAATTGATTCAAACTAAGTTGAAATGATTTGATCGGTTCAAATTTGGCTATTCCAAATCAAATTAGTTATTTTGAATTTAAAAATAAATTCAGCTAGTTATATATAATAAAAGAAATTAAAATTGAAAATCAAATAGTTTTCTGTGTCTAAACCTGCTGGTATTAAAAACCTGAATATTGGTGACCCCTAGATTATCGGGATAAAATTATAATTTTACCTTGGATGTGATGCACTGCAGCTGGTGCGACACCATAAAATATATATTTATATTATTTTTATTGTTGTAGATTATTTAAGGGATGAAGAAAAATGCTTGTGCAGATTTATTTATTTATTTTATATAGGATGAATAGAATATAGGATGTCTAGAGGATTTTTTTCTCATTCGTGTTTTTTTTTTTTTTTTTTTCTTAGTTATTTCTATATAGGATGAATAGGAATATTATAGCGATGTTGAGGATTTTTTTCTCCATTCGTGAGTTTTTTTTTTTTTTTTTTTTTTTTTTTTTTTTTTTTTCCAGTGAAAATATGTGAATACATTTTCTTCTCCATAAATAATTATTACAGATCTGGTGTGTATACCTAATGTAGACAAAGATAATTTGATAATCTTTTCAGTCATTGGTGTTGTATTTCTGAGGTACTTGATTTGTTAAAGTTTATGGAGATCACTACGTTCTTCACATTGCAAGAAGTGAAATGATGGAAGAAACAACTTTACTTTTTTTAAGATATTTATCTAACTGCAGTTTACTTACCAGTAATTGTAAGTTCCTTATATTAGTAGGGATTGGTGAACTATTTACCATATAGTAATTTCTTACAATCATTTGGTTCACATAAGTTAGTTGGTGCATATTTCATTTGAAACGGTTATACAGTTTAAGTATCTGTCGCGCTTATGATTCACATATTCCAATTTGTTAATCACCAGATTGCTCTTTCAGTTTTGAGAAGAAAAAAACCACTTACTGTTTTGTCTTGTTTTAATTTAAAAAAAAAAAAAACAGATATACATTAGCTCATTTGTCTCCATTGTTATTGTTCAAAAAAAAAAGATTTGTCTCATATATATACTAATATAGGTAAATTTTTCCTAGAATCCAAACAAGAATAAAGAAGTTTGCTCCTTTAGATCAACTCAATTATTTATAAACAATTTTATCATATATTCATATATTTTCTCATATATTCTGAGAGATGAGATGGGATGACAATGATCTGTTTTCCTTTAACCGGATGTCTCAAGTCCAAACACTAAAACCCCTTTAAACACTAAACACTCAGGAGGGAGCGCTTTGCCCCTCTTTGTAGGCCTATCCGGGGCAAATCTGAACTAGTCAAGCTAATGGACTTCGGATACAAGATGATTAAGATAAAAAAAAATTGTCATATTATACAAGGAGTGGACTAAACAAAATAATTGACATACGAGTACTTGATGGAGGTAACGGAAAAAAAAAAAAAAAAAAAAAAAAAAAATCATATTATACAAGGGAGTGGACTAAAAACAAACATTTATATATTTGACCATACGGCCAGTAACTGATGGAGTGGTAACTGCTTAAAAAAAATAAAAAAAAGAAGGTGAAAAAAAAAAAAAGAGGAGAAAGAGATTAAAAAAAAAAAAAAAAAAAAAAAAAAAAAAGAGGAAGAAGAGATTTGGGTCACAATTTCTATATCTAATTGTTGTTTACTCATTAATTAGAATTATTGTTTTTTAATTGTCATGAAACTCTATAATAAAAATGAGGGAAAGACTTATCTACACTCGATTTATGTATCCACCTATACATCAAATTAATTATAAACAGTGTTCTGATTCAAATGATGGTATTTCTGACTATTAACTAGAAGAAAATGATGAACTGATAATATTTTTTAAAAAATATTTTTTAATTGGCTTGGTGTATAGGACCATCCATACACAAAGTGTTGACAAGCAATTTCCATAAATTGATTTTTTTTATAAACATATTCAACAATTCAAATTAATTATTTTATATTCGTCTAGTAATTATTTTTCTTTTCTTTTTCCTTTATAAGGACAAAAGTCTCTCTTATATATTCTACTAATAATACTATATATTATATATATATACTATAATACGTATATAAATAATATATATATATTACTATATGATACGTTATAAACATGTATTTGCGACAAGGAAGCCCCTAAAGCTAGGGGCTAGACAAAAGCGATCAGTCATATAATCCTAATATATAACATGTATTTGGACAAGTAAGCCCCTAAGCTAGGGGCTAGACAAAAGCATCATATATATCCTAATTAGTGAATGATGGTTAATTATGTGAGAAGTAATTAACAACATCAAAATCCTTTGAAGCTCCTTGAGGAATGTCATCAATGACTTTCTCTTGTCCCTTCGGATGGTAAATACCAGTCCTCTCATCTGGAACCCAACTGCAACTCATTCCATTTCCATCTCCAACATGGCTATTCTTCATCATCTTCGTCTCCTCACCATCTCTGTTTCCTCTCAGTGTATTATCACCACTACTAGTGCTGGTTGTGTTTTTCCTGTGACAGGCTTTTCGAACCATTCCTGGCCTGTATCAAATAGATATGGCATTAGAGAATAACTGAAAATGAAAGAAGCTTAAAAATAATAATTACTTGGAGAACATGGAGTGTGCTCCTCTTGCAAATGCTCCTGAAGACATTGATCACCCTCTTCAAGCTTCGGCTTCTTGATCAAATGAAATTAATAGAAAATGTATGTGGGTAGGCATTGTTTCAATGGATTATATACATACATGCATTATATACATACATATCTATACACACACACACACACACACACACAAAGAAAAGGGAAAGCTAAAGATGATGACAAATTGGAAGAGAGGGAAGAAGGCAGTTTCTGAGGGAGGTATAACTATTATTATTATCTATATCTCTCTTTTCAATGGAGATTTTGTTTGGGACCGTTTCTCTTCTTACGTCATCGTCTGTTTCGCATTCAATTTTATAGATTTGGATGTTGAAGTAAATGAAACTGAACAAGCAAAAACAACCATTCTTCATCCATGCATTGGAACACGAGTAGTACTATGAGCATTGGACTTTCAGCATGGACAAGATGGGCCTTAAGCATTTCTGCCAGTCTCATTATCCATAAATAGATTCGGTTTCAGACCACGGAGGTAGAGGAGCGGAGTAGAACGGTTTTCACCCAAAAACCGAACCAATCTAGTTTATTTTGGTTCTTCAATTAATCGAATTGGTTTGGTTTTTAGTTCAATTTAGAATAAAAATCAAATTGTGCTAAAAAATGGAACGTATCAAATCAAATCAATTCGATTTTATATATACTTCTGTTCGATTTGATTCAGAAAAAAATACAGTTTTGGGTATCAATTATTATTATTATATAAATCATTTAAAAGAAATATTAATATAAGCTAATCAAAAAATATATTCGGCCTGCTTGTTGGAGATTTTATACATGGACTCATGGGTTCCATGGTATGTTTGGGCCTTCAAATTAAGAGTGTTAGGCTCGACTCCATTGAAGACTTCGTACGATTTCCATCAATGGGTTTGATCTTCAATGTTGGTCTTTTAAATTTGTGGATTTCTTGTCAAAATGGCTTGAGCCATTTAAACTTTATACTAATCCAACTTATATTGCTTTCTTATTTCTTTTTTTTTTTTTAAATCTTTTTTCAATGTGGGACTTTTTGTCTCTTGTATTCTCCAACACTCCCTCTCAAGTGTAACTGGAGTAAGCTTTCTTTTTGAGGCCTAGTTGTCACTTCGTCTTTATATGAATTGATCCAGACTTAACTCATTAGGTTCGGTGGTCTCATTCAGTCAAGCAGGCCTCTTTTCTTTTTTCAACTCTTTTTTTGTTGGGCTTTTCTGTTCAGCTAGATTTCTCCCTTTTTCATTGGGCGATGGTCCAACTTTTCTAAGTGCAACCTCTTATGTTTTGCCTCAAGTAGGCCTTTTGTCTTTCTTCAGCTATTTCTTTGTTGGGCTTTTTCAGTTCAGTTAGATTTCTCCCTTTCTTCATGAGGCCATGGTCCAACTCTTACAAGTTCAACCTCTTCTGTTTTGCCTTAAGTAGGCCTCTTTTCTTATGGCCCCACTCTTCCAAGTACAAGTAAGGGTGGCCATATTACGGTTTCGGGAATCGGAATCGTCGGTTCGAACCGGTCCCGAACCGTAACCGAAACCTGTCCGAACTGAAATCGGAACCGGAGATTTCCGGTTCCAGATTTCTGGAACTGAAACCGGCGGTTCCACAAAACCGGTCGGAACCGGATTGGAACCACCGGTTCAAACCGGTTCGAATCGGCGGTTCTAGCCATTCTAGCCGTTATAAACTGTCAGTTGTGTTTTTTTTTTTAATTTTATTGTGAAATCTCTTAATTACCCCTCCCAACAGCCATAAATGGCTTTTTATTTGTGAAAATTCTCTTTAATTACCCCTCTAAACAAGCCTAAATGGCTATTTTCAAGGGTATTTTAGAAAAAATAACTTTTTGGATTTTATAATATCTTCATTTCATTTACAAATTCATCACAAAAATCTCTACTCTCTCTACTTACTCTCTCACAATATTATTACACTCTACTCTATATTTATTCTTTTCTCTACTCTACATCTCTTCTTATTAAGTTATTTTCTCTCTGAATTTTTTTTTATTCATTTTCCAAATTATATCTTATTATCAATAATGGCAAGTGGAGGAAACTCAAATTCGGGTTAAGGGCAAGGGAAGATTGGAGAAACACAATATTCATCTATTCCTACAAACGACATCTATAATTTCACTCCCAACCAATTTAATTTTGAGGGGATATCCAAATGAAAATTTGGAAATTCCAACTCAAGAATCTGAATTTAATAATGAGCAATTACAAGAAGAGGAAGAGCAAGAGCAAGAGCAAGGAGCACAAATTGTTGGAAGAGCAAGACAAAGTTCCGACATATTCGCCATTAATTTCATGAAAAAATTCAAAGGTGAGAAAGTGTACGATGTAATTTGCAATTATTGTGAAAAATCTTATAAATTTAAACAAGTGGGCAGCTATGGATCATTTTGGAAGCATTTGGAGACAAAAACATCCAACAAAAATAGGAGTTGATCGGTCTCAAACATAAATTTCTGGGTACGCATCTTCTAACCTTTCTTTATTTAAATATTCTTGAAAAAGATACAAAAAGAAGAATTAGCCAAAAATGATTTTTATGGACATTTAGCTTTTTAGTTTTGGTGGGAAAAAGTTAGGTTTAATTAGGGGTGGCCACGGTTTCCGGAACCAGCAGTTTTCGGTTCCAGGAAAAATTGAACCGGAACCGAACTGAAAGGTCCAGTTTCGGTTCCAGTTCCGGTGGTACAAAACGACGGTTCCGATCGGTTTTCCTGCGAATCGCATATTTTAAAATTTTTTAATTTTGAGACCGGTAAAAAAAAAATTTGAACATAAAAATTTAAAATACACCTAAAAAATTAAAAATTACTTCAATTAATATATTTTTTTTAAAGACATTGAACATAATTATTTTTTTAAAAAAATTTTTCAAACCTGAATTTATTTTTTGTTTTAAAAAAGTTAAAATAAAAAAAGGGGCTTGGATTATTTAAAAAAAAAAAAAAAATTAAGTGTCTATTCTTGGGGGTTTAGAGGAATTCAACGCCACGTTAGTCTCTTACTTACCTTATACCAATTTTTCACCCCTTTACCTTAATCGCTATTGCACCACCGGTTGATTCCCGTTGAGACCCATCGAAATCATATAAATCTTCATTTTCTTTTAGATTTTCTTTGGGCTTTAGTTCGGTCCTTTGCTTCCAATCATCACGGCATGATTGTGCTTTGAGGTTTATCGATATCAGTATGTTTCCCTCATGACTAAAGCTTGGTTCAATCGGCAACAGTGGAGACCGGAGCTGCTAAAATTGTTTTGCAATAAGAAAGATTTTGGAGAAAGTATTTGCGTGACGAATCTCCACCAATCTAAAATTGGAAATCAGTATCTGGATCTAACCAAACTTCAAAAGAAGTGGTTAGATAATTATCAATATTCAGAAAAAAGAACTGGTCCCTTGTTCTTTTGTCTTTGTAAACTTGTTGAGCCACCACCCACTTACCCTTGTGTGGAAATGCTTGTATTAGATTGAAAAGTTAGAGTAGAGACTAAGAACTGATTCATTATATTGCATAATATTTTATTTAACGCATCATCTACTTATCTTCTACATTCCAGATCCATAATAAATAGTCAATATCACAAAAAAAGCATCAATCTTACATCTAGGATCAAATACAATAGCACAAGATATTGTGTTTAAATAAGATAACCATTTTTTTTTCATTGAAAAATACCAATCTTTTAATAAATTCATCATTTTTCAAATTTGTTTTTGGGGAGTGACCACTAACATTATACATATAGGTAAAAAAATAAGTGTGGGAGAATAACCCCACGTAATAAAGGTAGCATCATTAAAAATTTAAAAATATTTAAATATGCAACAAATATCCCATTTGTTGGATATAAATTAATATCCTCAATTTATAGTACAAAAAATATAATTTCTTTTATAAGAAAAAGATCGTTTAGTAATTCATATGTGAATTCCAACGAGTTGGACATCCATTTGGAAATGTGGTCTTTATTATTTCTTTCAAAATTTACCCATTTTCATCATTGGGATTGTCCCCTAAATATGGAAATAAGCTTTTTAATTGGGAGAAATAAAATATTCAAAGAATTTTTAAACCATCTTGTACACATAAATTTAACATGGCATGCACACTGTAAAAAGAATCACAATTGGTTCCAAATATTTGATCAAAGATTAGTATTTGCAGAAAGCATTACATGAAGAAAAATTTTTGGTCAACTTATTTTCATTAAAATTTGACAATTATTTCATAAATATTATTTTGCAGTATGTTTATCATCAAAACACGAAAGCAATATTCTTTTTTGAATTTTCCAATCACATCAATCCATGACATGTAATACATATAAGAATGCATTTGCCCAATGGTCACTCCAATATCAACAAACAATGGAAACACAAATTTTCATTTGAGAAAAATTAAAAGTTGCTAACTCTTTTTTTCCTTTATTATATAAAGAATAATAGTTCGTTTTACAGTATTTCTTGGTACTCTTTTATGCAGAAGGATTTTAAAAATCTTTTGACAATATATTATTAAACCTACTTTTTTACCAAGCTAAAGATAATATGTTCCATAGAAACATTTTTGCTTTAATTCTTCTTGTATTTTTTTTCAGAGTATTGAAAATAAAGAAGTTAGAAGATTGCGTACCGGAAATGGTGAGGACCGACAACTTCCTTATTTTTTGGTTGGATGTTTTTCCCCAAATGCTTTCAAAATGATCCATAGCGGGCCGCTTGTTTAAATTTTATAAGGATTTTCCACAATAATGCAAATGTACCATCGTCATTTTCTCACCTTTGAATTTTTTCGTGAATGAATTTCGATTGTCGAACTTTGTCTTAGCTCTCCCTCAACAAGTGCTCGTTGCTCTTTGCTCTTGCTCTTTCCTCTTCTTGTTAATTGCTCATTAAATTTTTCAGATTCTGAGTTGGAAATTTTTCCAAATTTTCATTTGGATATCCCTCAAATTTAAATTGGTTGGGAGTTGAAATCGTAGATGGTCGTTCTGTTAGGGATAGATGTGATATTGTGTTTTCTTCCAAATTCTTTCCCTTGCCCTTACCGGAATTTGGTTTCCTCACTTGCCATTATATTTATAATAAGATATAATTTGGAAATTGAATAAAAAAAATTGAGGA